CCAGGTTCACACAATTGGTATGTATCAGAGGTGAGACTTGAACTCAGGTCTTCCTTGCTTGGAGTCTGGCTCTCTGTCCACTATGCCATGTTAACAATGTAGGGTTGTCTATACAGGGACAGGTGAAGAGTAGAGGATCAAGCAAGTGGCAAACTATTGGCAGAGGTCCAGCTAAGTGATTGACTTTGGAAAGGCAATCTGATAAGTGTGGAACACTTCTGGTAACAGGTATAGGGGACTCAGTATTGAGAAAATGATAGTTCCCTGGAGCAGCATTAAAAAAAAAACCAAACCCTAGTGGTATTAGCATACTGGGCAAAAACTTGTTCAACCAAACAAAGAGAATTCTGGTTCTTGGGGACAATAACAGTGCAATCCTATCCTGGAGATAAGGCAGAAATGTGATCACAGGAGAAGAAAACAGGAACTCCTGAAAAAATAGAGTTCAGGCAAAACACCATGAGAGTAGCCCATTGCTGTGTTTAGAGACACACTTTGGCATAGTGGAAATTGCAGTGAACTTGAAGTCAGAAAACCTGAGCTTGAATCCTACCTTTGATATTTCTTAGTTCTAAGACTTTGAAAAAATCTGCTTAACCTCTGAATCGGATTTCTCATCTGTATAATGGGGATACTAATACTTGTACCACCTAAATTACAGGGTTGTTACATGCTTCGGTTTTCATCCTGCTTCAGACATTTACTTAGTTGGGTGATGCTACTAGCAAATCACTTTTTAACCTCACTTCCAGTTTCTTCTTTTATTCTGTAAAGCAGGGGTAATATAGGACCTTCCTCACAGGGTACTTGTGAGGATCAAATTAAAGTGTATAAAGTGCTTCACAAACCTTAAAGTCCCCTATAGATATTGACTTTATTACTATTATCATCATTATTGTTAGGAAAATTTTTTTGTCGACTTAATAATGCTATATAATTGTGAGTTATTTCTCTGATTAGGAACAGGATTGGAGCCTGGTTTGGGGCTGAGACTATGTATGAGGGTTAAGTAAAGTCAGCCAATAAAGTTAGAAGAATGAGTGTGGGGCAGAGGTGTCAAACACCTGGTCAAATAGAGGCAGCAACACTCCTTAGTATAGCTCAAACTAGATTACAAAGAAATTGGGAAATAGTTAACAAAATAAATAAAAAACACAGTAGAACATAGATAATATTAACATGTAGTTTTCTAAGTCAAGATGTGACCTATAGGGTTTAGTGGCCCCTTTTCCATTTGAATTTGATGCCACTGGTTTGGGGGATCCCAAGTAGGTTGTTAATGCTATTAGGGCTCCTGGACAGGAGGATGGGTGGTAATTCTTAAGACTCTGTCAGCTCTATTTTTGGAAAAAACAAAACAAAACAAAAACAAAGCCTATCCAAGACAGCCTGCTTTTTGTTTCCTAAGAGGTCCTGTATGCAAAACAGTTTCCAAAAATTCTCTCCAACAGGCTCATGAAACTCCAGGAACTCCTCTATTTGAGGAGTCATTTGGTCTTTTGGGACATACAAGTTTCATATTCTAGTAGGGCTATCATACCAAGGTTTTGATACTTCCAATTAAGAATGGGATAACTCCATGGGAGAAAAGCAGTCTCTTCCCTAAAGATCCACTTGGGGAAAATCCCTGCCCAAAGTTAGTGTCATTGCTTTCAGAATTTGAGAGGAAATTGGGGCATATTAAACAATCAGATCCTCTTAAAGGTTCTGTGTGTAAGCTCTTTCTTCAAGATAGAGGATAGGTCAATCTGTACAAGTCTATTCTAAGGCTGGACATTAACTTCAATGAACAAAAATTGATTTTCTCACCCTCCCCCACCCCCATTAAAAAAAAAGAAAAGAAAAACAAAACCCTTGTGACAAGTAAGCATAGTCAAGCTAAACAAATTCCTACACCAGCCATGTTCAAAAACATATATTTTGTTCTGCATCTTGAATCCATGACCTCTCTGTTAGGATATGAGTAGCATGAATCATTACTCCTCTGGAATCATGGTGGATTATTTCATTGATGAGAGTTATTAAGTGAAAGCAATATCAATAGTTGACATAAGGTTCGTAAAGCACTTTGTGAACATGACATCATTTGATACCTGTGAGGTAAGCTCTATGGCTATTACTATTCCCATTTTATAAATGACCAAACTCAGTTTATAAAGTTTATTGACTTGCTCATGGCCACACAAGGAGTAAGTGTTAAAGGCAGGGTTTGAACCCTGGTTTCTATTGAATCCAAGTTCTTATACTACACAATTTTAATCACTTAAATATTTGCTTATTGCATTTTCTCTTACAGACATTGAGGATCATTTAATCTTAATTTTAATTTCTTAAAACCTAAAAAAATTTCATTTAACTCTTGTTTTGAGGTCAGTTTTAATTATATCTATCCCCTTTCCCTACCCATTTAGCCAGAATAAGAGGGGGAAAAAGCAGGTGAGCAAAACTGACCAACACTTCAACTGAGTCTGATAATATATTCAACGTCTAACACATATGGGTCCCTTACCTCTGCAAATAAAGGAGGGAAGATTACCTTAAAGGTAGTTAGACTAACCAAGGGATTATATTGTGGATTCCTTCCAGGGTATGGTTTCCCATCCACTTTTTTCTCCATACTCAAATAAGCTTTGTCGGAGACCTTGGGCGGTTTCCAACTGTAAATTAGATGCAATTATTTGGTCTTAATTTTCTTTAAGGACTGGATATCAAGAAGCTGAGCTATTCAAGTAGTTCTCCTGAGAGATTTTCATTTGTTTTTTAAAATTTTATGGTAAATTTTGTTTCAACACATGATGATCCCTATCTTTGTCCCAGTTGAATCCTCCATGATGTAAAATCCTTGAAAACTGTTAAATCAAAGAACGTATGAGTGATTTTGATAAGTACAGGAGACCTTCACCTTCAACAGTTTTCCATTTGTTGAAAGAAAAGTTGTGTGCTTTTAAGCTAGTAACAATGTTTCCCATTGTTTTTGACCTGAAATTTGATACTGTTGAAAATTTTCTTACTTTTAGGGTTGTAGCGGGCACATTGTACTTTTAAACTGTCCTTTGTTCACTCTGTATCATTTCATGAATTCTTCCCATATTTCTTTGAATTCTTCACGTTTATTTTTGTACCCAAATATTCTATTACATCCATATAACACAGTTTCTTTGGCTATTCACCAGTCATTAGTCACAGAATTTGTTTCTTTTTTTTTTTGGCAGTAACAATTAATGCTTTTATTATTTTATTTATTTTTTTGAAGATAGGTCTTTTCTTGTCAGTAGCCTCTGCAGTGCATAAAACCCACAATCAGATCACTGGATCTGAGGTACTGAACAATTCTGAAGCTTTTCTTGCATAATTCCAAATTATTTCATGGAACAGTTGAGTTGATTCACAACTGATATAGTGCATTAGGGTACCAGTCTTCCTACGTACAAAAAGTAGTGACTTTTGAAATATGCCAGGTATTCTTGGAGGTCACAGAGGGTCAGCTTCTCCAATAAGTGGGCCTTCATGAAGGGCTCTGAGCCTTTTAGAGCAGGCTTGCACAACCTGTGGATGTTTTCCTCTACATTTTTCTCTGGCCTCCCAAAATCCTTTGGTGTGCCTCAGGTTCTGCAGTCCTGTTTTAGAGCATCCCAAGCTGAGAATCATAGGCAAAGGGCCTATAGGATTTTGCTTGACCAGTAAACAGGCATCTTTAAGTACCTGAGCAAAGGAAGAAAAGCAGAGTTGTGGGATCAAAGAACTAGACTGAGCCCCCAGTCAACAATTTAAGCTTCTTCCAGACTGCTTTCAACTAATTAATCCAGTAACCATTTATTACATTTCCACTGTGCTAGATACTCTGTGTAGCTTGTCTTCTTTAATGTCCCTATTACTTTTTGATGCTGTTAGTGTGCTAGTACGTACACTTACAATTATTTCTATTCCCTATAATTGGCTGTTTCTAATTGCTAGGCCTAGGGGACGGGGAAAACATCACCAAGATTGTTAGAATTGTGTCTTAAGGATAACTAAGTCTGATTGCCCAAGGGCCTTTCTTATAGAACAAAGTACATAAACTTTATGAGAGATTGTTTTAAAAAAAATATTAACAGCTTTTTCTATCTTCTGTCTGCTTGTGCATATTTTAGAGGACTGCCATTGCTGGAAGTCTGACCATGGATTATCAAGTGCATTATTACTTTACTTTTCTTAAGGTATAAACAAATGAATATTTAACGAAAAGAGTCATGAGTCCTAAGTTCAAATTCTGGATCTGCCATTTACTAGCTGGGTGACTCTGGGCAAGTCACTTAACCTCTGTCTCAGTTTCTTCATCTGTAAATTTGGGTTAATAATTGTACCTACCTTCCAGAGTTGTTGAGGATTAAATGAGATGATTATCATAAAACTCTTAGCACAGTGTTAATCATCATTGTTACTTTGACTTTGGGCAAGTCAATTAAATTCACTGGGCCTCAGTTTCATCACTTATAGAATGAGGGTATTGGACTAGGTGACCTCTCAGATCTTTTTCAGCTCTACATCTATGATCCTTTTACCTTGTTCAGTCATTTCACTTGTGTCTGACTCTTTGTGACCCCATGAGGTTTTTTTTTGGCAAAGATACTAGAGGGGCTACAGCTCATTTTACAGATAAGGAAACTAAGTGACTTGACCAGGGTCACAGAACTAGTAAGTGTCTGGGGCCAGATATGAACTCAGTAAGTAAGTCTTACTGACTTTAGGCCTGTACTCTAACCACTGAGCAACCTAGCTTTCCTTTTATCCTACATTTATTCTACATATTTGTAAACAGGAATGCTTTATACCTTAAGAAAATCTGGTACATAAAAATCTATATTTGGGAAACAAATTACAATTTTTTAATTTTAGAAAGTATTCCTATTTTGAAAGTATTTATCACAGATTTTCTTTGATAAGACAAGTTCTCATTCTCTACATAGGTTTTTTTGCTTAAGTAGCTATTACTTTTAATATTTGAGTTTCTTCTTTTTCAGGTGCCAGATTTCACCATCACTGACTTATCTTCTGAAACTTATGAAATTCCAGACATTTTAGGTTTGGATGAGGAGGACGAAGTTGATTATTCACGATTTAATGGATCTGTTAACCTAAGTCAGAATAATGAATAAAGAACAGCAAATTGATCTCGAATATAGCATTTTACTTTGCTAAATTACATGTTTTTTCCAAGTATTTTTATAGTTTTTGGGAATGGTAGTAAATTTTGTTTTAATTTTATTGATTCCTTATTTCATTCCCCAGAGCAACCGTTACAAACTTTTTCTTCTTTATTCAAGTCCCTCAATGTACTCCTGCCTTCCAAGATCATAGCAAATAATACACCAAGGAAACAGACGGATGCATGTTTCCCCAGGCCTCTGCTTTTCAAAATTACATGCCTCTGTTCCCAATCTCATTCATTCCTGTGATCTTGTTCTAGGAATTATCCTCTCTCTAAATACATCACCCCTCTCTTTCTCTCTATTTCTTTCCTATTTACTTACAAACATTGGTCAAATTTCCCACATCCTAAAAATATTCTTTGTTGATCCTTTGTCTTAGCTAGCTATAGGTAAGCTTCTTTCTCCCTTAGGTTTCTTGAAAAGTTGGCTTATACCTAATACAACCACTCTCTCATCACTTCCCTCATTAACCTCATTTAACTTGGCTAATGGAACTCCCCTCAAAAGACAAAAATCAGTCAACTAACAAGCCTCTATTAATTTCTTATGATGGGACAAATACAATGAAACAATCCTTGCTCGAAAGGATTCCTACTTAATCCCATGGCCTTTTTATTTTAGTTTCAAAATTATATATATATTTTCAATTTCCAACATTTTCAAATTCCAACAAATTTCAACATTCCCATGAAACCCTGGACAAACAGAAAACAAAGCACTTGTAACAAATAAGCATAGGCAAGCAAAACCAAATTCTACTACTTGCCATGTTGAAGAATGTGTCTCATTCTGTGTCATCACTACTCAGTTAGGAGGTAGTTCTTCACCATCAGTCAATTGGAATCATGATCGATCATTTTGTTGTTCAGCATTCTTAAGTCTCAACATCCTCTTTTGAGTCTCTGCATGGGGCATTTGCCACTGTTGACCACCTTTCTCCTTTTGGGTCCTACCTCTTCTTTTGGTTTCCTCCTTCTACCTCTTTAACCTCCCCTTCTCTGTCTCCTCTGCTGGCTCCTCAGCCCTGAATTGAATTGTTTAATTTGTTTTAAAAAACATTGGAAATCTGTTTTTTTTCCCCTCTATAGTATGTGTAAGAAATTCTGGTTGTGAAGGCTATTAATCTAGCTTGATAATCACTGAAATGATTGAAATAAAGTTTGAGTGCTGCCATTTGTATGTGTTTTTTTTTTTTTTTTTTTTACTGATAATGACTAATGCTGCCTGAGTAGCTGTTATCTTGGAAGTTAAAGGGAAAATAACAAGAAGGTGAATTCATAAGGACAAATTGGATAGCCAGGATTACCTTATTCTACACTGATAATATAAATAAAAAGAACAACTACACCCCTCCCCCCAAAATCAAAAGTGAATGTAACAAAATTATTAAAATCAAATAGGACTTAAATAAAGAGATAATGAAAAGATCCCTCCCCCCCAACCCATCTCTTCGTGGAGGCGGGAGGTCCACAGGCATTACATATTGCACATGTTTTTAGACTTTTTCAAGGTATCAGTCAGTTGTGTTAATTTTTTTTCCTCTATAAAATAATATTATTTATTATATTGGATGGCACTGTGGGAGAGGGAAGTGAAATTGGGATAACTATGATGATGTAAGAAACAAGTCACCAATAAAAACTTATTTTTAAAAAAAGAGCCTACTACCTTCAAGGTAATGGAGATGCAGACACAAAGAATGAAACAATCCCTATTCCTAAGGAGCTTATATATTAATGGGGCTACAACAAATATAGATAGATAAGTTTATGCAGATAACTATGTAGCATTCCCTCTGGGTTCATTTTACTACCTCAAACTGGATGAACAGGTTGAATCCCTACAAAGGGGCTGACTTGCTTTCCTTCAGGGGTGAAGGTTTATAGCTTCTAGTACTGCTTAAAAGCCCTCATCTGTTGTTTTCCCCACTGATTATCAATTAGTTGGCTAGAATTAATTGGTTTTTAAAAATAGAGAGTTACTGAGACAATATTTTAAGAAATTGCCACAAAAAGGAATCCCTCCACCCTTAAAATATGGGACACTCCCACAATTACTTATTTTCATAAGTTTTTACTGATGTTATTTGCTTTTTACATCAGAATAATTTTCCCTGGGATACCTCACCTTCCGCCTCCCTGAAATCAAATACCATCCTACATAGCAAATAGTAGTTTTTAAGGACAGGAAGAAAAAAAAGAAAAAAAATGGTACAACTAATCAATACACTGAGAATTCAAAAACGTGCAATACATGAACCGGTGAACCTCCCATCTCCACCCTTCTGCAAGAATGGGAAAAAGGCTCAAGGTTAGAAAGCATATGTGGCCAGAGTGACCAACTCATAGCTCCTAGATACTTAAGTTCTTTTTTGCCTTTGTGGAGTCCTCAAGAAATTCTCCTTAGGTATAACTCTATGTTGGGCTCCAAGAATTGATGCTTTTGTAGTTTTGTTGTCCTTGGTAAGTCAACTCTTAGTGAATATGTCCTCGTTGTTGTTTGTCCTTCATTCTGGAAGAGAACCATGACATCAGGGAGGTGATGCCATGACTTGCAAGTGAATTGGATTTTAAGTGAGAAGGGCTGTGCCAAGTCACCAGCCTCACTTTCTCCAGAGCCCTCTGGATCCAGTGGGGAGATATAGTTCAGGATGACTGGAGATGGCCCTGGATGCAGTGGGAGACCTTGGCCTTTTTAAGCTGAGGTCTTTACCAAGTCTTAGTTATACTGAGGCAACACCCATTCAGTGATTAAGGCTAGATAAGAAATGAGGCAGAAAATGGCCTCTTTACCTAGTTAAAAAAAAATCAATCTGGGAAGGGAAGATCCTTAGGGTTTTTGGACAAAACAGAAACAATTACTATTGTCATTCACTCTAAGCCACCTGGGCCCAATGACCACTAAGTGGTGCTTGGGCTATGACCAATCAGTTGACCAATCAGTGACAGCCAGAGTGAATGGGGTTTAAGGCATGGCCTATAAAGAAATCTAGCTAGTAAACCCTATATCTTGCTAGGTTTCAGCCATCAAAATTTACATTCCTTTGGACAGAGCACCTGTAGGTAAGGGTAAGATACTCCATGTGGACAGAGGGAGAGGAAAGAAGAGGAGAGGAGAGGTGAGGAAGGAGCTGAGTTGCCCAAATGGAACTGGCCAGTTCGGTCCTCAGTGGGGCAGCTCGGACTACTCACAGGGTGTTGTCCTTTGTTCTTGAAGACACCTTAACATCAGTAAGATGATGCCATGACTTGCAAGTGAATTGGATTTAAGTGAGGAGAGATATGCTAGGTTATCAGCCTCACTTTCTCCTCCAGAGCCATCTGGGTCCAGTTGCCAGATATTCATCAGGACAACTGGAGATGGCCCCGATATGTTGTCATATGCTATTCTGGGATATTGCTACTGATACCCAACAAGAAGTGTAAGTCTTCTGCTCTTTCATTTCAAAGGTCAGCAGGTTGTCCTGTGGTCAAAAGTGGGGTGGGAACTCAAACCTTCCTTTGCACCCTCAAGGGGAGTTACCTTGGCAACTATTACACTGGTTTGTTGCTAGAATGCTCAGAGTGGAATTTTCTGGGCAATTATATATAAACCTACATGTATGTCTGATTCTTTCTACTAATCCCAGTACATTTCCTGTGTGGCATCATCTGATTTAATCCAAGATCAAACTACTTCACTCTTCTCCAACTGATTAAGTTTTTCCATCTAGTTTATGCCTTTGATTGATTGAGTCAATCAAACTCCTTAATTTTGGCTTTGGGAGTTAAGATGGTGGAGTGGGAAACAGTGTGGGGAGCTCCTATCCACAAACTCTTCCAAACAGATTTAACAAATTTGCCAAATGGAATTCTGATTGGGAAATCCAGAAAAGGTCACAGTGAGTCATTTGTTTAGTCCAGCTCAGTATACAGAGACAAAGACATCTACAGACCCTGGGAAGCCTAGACATCCAATTAAAAAAATTTTTTTTAAAAGAAAACCATCCAGATCTTTTAGAACCAGAGGGCAAAACAGAAATAGAAAGACTTCTCTGATTACTTTCTGAAAGAAACCCCAAAATGAAACTTTCAGGAACAGAATAGTCAAAATCTAGGGCTTCCAGAAAAAAATACTGCAAGCAATCGTAAAGAAAAAATTGAAGTACTGAGGACCCACAGGCAGGATCCCATATGATTTAGTAACCACTGACTATAAAGGAACAGAGAACTTGAAATATTGCATTCCAGAAGGCAAAGGATAGGGCTTGCAGTCAAAAATAACATTTAGGAAAACTGAATATAATGCTACAAGGAGGAAAAAAAAAACAGATCCTTAATGAAATAGAAGACTTCCAAGCATTCCTGATGAAAAAATATTGCAGAAAAACTGCAGTTCCAACAAAGGAGTGAAGAGAAACATAAAAAATAAATATAAATGAAGAATGGTAAAAGACTAAATAGGGATCATCAACTCCTGACATGCAAATATAGGGTGAGGATACACATGTCCCTTTTGAACCCTACCATCACCAGAGTCTATAAAGGGATTCCAATTATACAAGGCCTGGAAGTGGTTCTGTTATGTCTTGATGACTTTAAGAAAAGGATGGAAAGAGAAGAGAAGAGAAATACACTGTAGGTGAGGGGGAATGAGAAGGGTTTAGCAAATTATGTCACATAGTCAGGGTACCTAAGGAGACATCTATACAGACAAAAGAGGACGGGGTGGTGGGGATACTTGAACCTCCCTCTCATCTGAACTAGTTAAGAGAAGGAAGGATATACACATATACAGAGTTGGGTACAGAAATATATTTCACTCAACAGGACAATAGAATAGAAAGGGGAGAAAGGGAAGGGGCAGTAAAAAGGAGAGTAGACCAAGGTAGGGGTTAGTCCTTGGCAACGAAAATCAAGGATGTATAAAAATATTCATAGCTCTTTAAAAAATTGTTATTTTTGACATTCTTTTTTTTTAAAGTTTTGAGTTTCAGATTCCCTCCCTCCCACTTCTCCCCCACCCACTGAGAAGGCAAACAATATGATATCACTCACAAACGTGAAACCATGCAAAGCATAATTTCCATATTAACCATATTATGGGGAAAAAAAGCAAAAAAAACAAGTGAGGAATCATACTTCAATTTACACTCAGAGCTAATCAGTTCTCTCTCTGGGGGTGGATAGTATTTTTTCATCACAAGTCCTTTGGAATTGATGAGAGAAACCAAGTCTTTAACAGTTGATTGTCATTACAACATTGCTGTTATTATACATCCAGGGCCATCTCCAGTCCTCCTGATCTATATCTTGCCACTGGACCAAGATGGCTTTGAAGGAGAAAGTAACTGGTGACTTTGCACTGCCCTGCCTCACTTAAATCCAATTCACTTGCATGTCATGGCATCACCTCCCTGATGTCATGGTCCTCTTCTAGAAAGAAGGACAAACAACAACAATAATAATATTGTACACAATGATTTCCTGGTTCTTGTCAATTCACTTTGCATCAGTTCATTTAGGTATCGCCATGCTTTTTTCTGAAACCACCCCACTCATTTCCCACAGCATAATAGTATTCCATCACAACCATAACTTGTTCAGCCACTCCCCAATTGATGGGCATTCCTTCAATTTTCAATTCAGATACAGCTTTGCCCTTGATTAGTTATGTGACCTTGGGCAAGTCACATCACTCTTGGACTTAGTTGATTCATCTGAAGGATTGGAAAAAAAAAATACTTGCCTCACCAATTCTCCTCTTTACTACAGGTGTAGCACTGGATCAATTAATCTTTCTTTCTGCACCGCACTTTCCTTAACTGTAAAATAAGTGTATGAGACTAGAGAATTTCTCTTTTAAAATTTTATTATTTATTTTTAACACGAATTAAAAAAATTTGTGAGTTCCAAATTCTTTCCCTCCACCTGCCTCTCCCTTACCCATTGAGAAGGCAAGCCATACATCAGTTATGCATGTGAAGCCATGCAAAACATATTTCCATGTTAGCCATGTTGCAAAAAAATAAAAAAAAGGCAAGAAAAATAAAACAAGTGAAAAAAGTATACTTCTATCTGCACTTAATTTATGCAGTTCTCTCTGGAGGCGGATAGCATTTTTCTAGAGGATCTCTTAAGGTCCAGTCCAGTTCTAGCTCCTTTAATCTGCTACAGTCCCAGGGCATTTGGTAA